ATCGACGAATAATTGTGTCTGTGTGTTTTTCCCCTCCTGAACTTCTAGGGCTCCGCGCGCCCAGCGGGGCACGGCGGCTCCGCACTGCGCCAGCCCCTCGAGATGGGGCGACCGCTTACCACGGCAGGCACAGCACCCGACTGGCAGGGCGCAGCGCAGCCACGGGGGCCGCCGCCGCGACGCGCTGGTCGAGCACGCCTCGCTGCTGGGAGGGAGAGAGGGGGGAGGCCGAAGGTCAGGAGGGACAAAAAAAACACAGACACTATTAATCGTCGATTCCCCCCGGAAATATGGGACAATATGGGAAGCGGGGGGGGAAGAGAACAACCTTGAACATATAGGAAAATAGGGGGAATCTCTTGATTTGTGTGTGTGTGTTTATGTGTGTGTCCTGGGGCCCCTTCAGAGGGAACAAGCAGCTGCACGCACGCCCGAGCTCCCACGGGCCCGCGCGGGAGCTCCTGGATCGGCGCTGGCCCCCCCCCCTCCCCCTCCCCGGCGCGCGGAGAGCGCCGGGGGCGGCGCCCCGGGAGGCCCAGCACGGATCCATCCGAGAGATGCGCGCAGCTCCCCGCGCGTGCACACAGTGCAGGGAGGAGGCCGCCGCCCCCCTCGAGGGCCAGGAGGCCTCCATATCCTGCCCTCGAGGCGGGAGGGCGCCTTCCCCGGAGGTCTCGGCCGCAGGTCCCCGGGGCACGCTACTCGTGCCGAGCCCGGTGTTGGACCGTCCGCCAGGCCCGGCGAGGGCCCCCCCGGGAGGCCGAGAGTGGTGCGGAGGCCGTCCGTCGGGGGTTTCGCCACGACGCGAGAAGGTCTTGGTGGGAGGGAGGGGGGGGCATGGCCCAGGGGAGGGAGAGAGGGAGGTCTGGGGAGGGAGGGAGGGAGGTCTGGGAGGGAGGGAAAGGGGGGGGGGGGAGGGCCAGGAGAGGGAGGAAGGGTGGGAGGGGAGGGAGAGGGGAGGGACGGGGGGATCAGGGCAACGTCAGGGAGCTACAGGTATAGCCCCAGGGGGGGACGTCGACCCCAATCGCCCACTGATCGCCGACTGGGGCCCGATAGCCCATCCGCCCGAGGAACGCGCGGATGCGCCATCGAGAGCCTATCGCCGAGCCATCGGCGGTGTATCGCCCCGATCGTTGCCCCACCTGGGAGGGAGGGAAGGCGGAGGAGGAGGAAGGAGGAGGAGGAGTAGTATGAGTATGAGTATGAGTATGATCATGTGACAAAGTCAAGCGTGCCAACATTACGTGACGAATTACACATGAAGGCATGGCTATACACGACCACGGCTCTGCTTCTCACGTGCACTTAAACCCTTAGGCCATAGACCACGCGAGACCCTATCGAGATATGCATTTCGATGTGTGGTGACACGCTTGGTGCAGACCTTGCACGAGGAGGAGGAGGAGGAGGAGGAGGAGGAGGAGGAGGAGGAGGAGGAGGAGGAGGAGAGGAGGAGAGGAAGACAAGGCAGTGAGTGGGCCCGCGTCCCGCCCGTGGCCTTGGCCTCAGAGCAAGCAGAGCTCTCGCAACTCGCACTCATCGCTGGCACTCTGCCGTGAAAAAAAGTCGGCACCCGTCGAAGAAGAGAAGTCAGGAGGAGACAAAACACACAAACACAATTAATCGTTGATCCCCCGGAAAATGTAGGAAAATCTGGGAATTGGGCGGGAAGACAAAAACCCAGAAAAATATAGGAAAATATGGGACATCATTTTATGTGTGTATTTATGTGTGTGTGTGTGTCCTTGGGCCCCTTCAAGAAGGGCAACCTGCACAGACACGAGCCTCAGGAGCTCTGCGCGGGTGTCTCCGATCTGTGGTGGGCCTGCCTGGCCGCTGGCGCGCTCCTCGCGTCAGGGAGGGGGGGTCCAGCGACGGTCCAAGAAATCCGCGCGGATCTCCGAACGGTGATATGCGTATGTATATGTATATGTGTATATATGTATATGTACATGTATGTATATATATATATATATATATATATATATATATATGTATTCATTATGTCCTCATATATGTGTATATATACACTAGGGTGCGATCGGCATCACCTGATCTCGGTGCCGAGCGTAGGGATTCCCTAGGATTCTTCTGGCACGCTCGAACTATCGCCATCGCCCTGGCCTTGCCGATCCCAGGGAGCGGGACAGCCTCGAGGCTATAGTCGGGAGGGGGCCCCAGTTCTGCCCCTCGGGCCCTGGATTTTTTCGCATCGGCGCGGGACCCCACAGCGCGGCACCTCGGCGCGCATCGCCTGGCATCGCTCGGGCGTGTGCATTGTTCCTTCGGCGAGGAGCGTCGAGGAGCATCCCTGATGTGGCGAAAAAAACACGCACGAAACCGAAAAAAACACAGGGAGTGCACGTCCGAGCGATGGCCAGGGACCCCACTGGCGGCACTTCGGCGCGCATCGGCGCTGGACCCCACTGGCGGCACTTCGGCGCCGCCCCTGGCGCGCCAGCGCCGATCCAAGAAACATCCGCCCAGACATCCAACGGTTTGTTTATGCAGTTGTTCTTCTCTCGCTGACCCAGACACTGGAGGTCATGACTTGTCATAGCGTCGACCCCCAGAAGTCTCGACCCATTCGCCAGGACCAGTTTTTCATCCTGAGCCGTTTTTGTTGGCGGGCCCGAGGCCCGGTGAGGGCCTCCAAAGGCCAGAAATACAAGTTATCTTGGCGAGGGGACCAACCATATGCAGTTGTGAGTACCATCGTTGCGATTATCGCCTTCGGGGAGCGCTGCGAACACTTGTAGCATGTAGCATGCGAAGCGCTGATTTGTGTGAGGAGAGGCGCATGCGGCTTGCGGCCACGAACCTTCGGTGGGGCTCTCTACGGGGCCATGAAGCGCTGTACTGAGTGGGGGAGACGCATTTGAACACCGCCACCAGGGCCTTCGATGGAGCTCCCCATGGGGCCATGAAACGTTGTACTGGACGGGAGAGACGCATTTGAACACCGCCACTGGGGCCTTCGGTGAGGCTCCCTCCCTATGTGGACACGAAGCGCTGTACTTGGTCGGGGATAGGCGCATGCGAACACCGTCACTGGGGCATTCATTCGGTGGAGCTTCCTCTGGGGGCACGAAGCGCTGTACTGGGTTGGGGAGACGCATGCGAACACCGCCACTGAGGCCTTCGGTGGAGCTCCGTGCGGGGCCACGAAACGTGGAATGGATGGGGGACACGCATGCGAACACTGCCACTGAGGCATCCGGTGGAGCTCCCTATGGGCCACGAAGCGTTGTAGTGGGTGGGGGAGACGCATGTGAACTTTGCCGCTGGGGCCTTCGGTGGAGCTCCCTATCGGGCCACGGAACGTGGAATGGGTGGGGGAGACGCATGCTAACACCGCCACTGAGGCTGTCGGTGGAGTTCGGTATGGGGCCACGAAACGTTGTATTTGGTAGGGTGGGGGGGGCGCATGCAAACACCGCCACTGGGGCCTTCGGTGGAGCTCCCTGTGGGGCCACGAAACGCTGTACTGGACGGGGGAGACGCATGCGAACGCCGCCACTGGGGCTTTTGGTGGAGCTCCCTAGGGGGCAACGAAACACCGTGCTGGGTCTGCTGAAATGGTGGACATGCAGAGGGCAGAGGCACGGAGGGTGGGAGGAGGGGGGAGGAGGGGGAGGAGGGGGAGGAGGAGGAGGAGGAGGAGGAGGAGGAGGAGGAGGAGGGAGGAGGAGGAGGAGGAGGAGGAGGAGGAGGAGGAGGGGAGGAGGAGGAGGAGGGGGGGACGACGAATACATGCGGAGGGCAGAGGCAGGGATGGGAGGAGGGAAGATGAGGAGAGGAGGAGAGGAGGAGGAGGAGGAGGAGGAGGAGGAGGAGGAGAACGCGGGGCGCTGTCTCTTCAAATCCAGGGCCCAACACCACATTGTGGTTGATGAGGATGGTTTTCTCAACCATCCATCCTGAGGAATGTTAAGAACAAATTAGCTTGGCGAGGGACCCAACCATATGCAGTTGTGAGTACCGCAGTTGTGGGTATCGTCGTCAGTGGTGCTCCCCATGGGCCACGAGACGCTGTACTGGGCGGAGGAGACGCATGCGAACATTGCAGCTGGGGCCTTCGGTGGAGCTCCCCATGGGCCACGAGACGCTGATCTGGGTGGGGAAGACGCATGAGAACTTTGCCACTGGGGCCTTCGTTGGAGCTCCCCATGGGCCACAAAACATTATTGGGTGGGGGATACGCATGTGAAAGGTTCCACTGGGGCATTCGGTGGAGCCCTCTATCGGCAACGAAACGCTGTACTGGATGGGGGAAAGGTATGTGGACTTTGCCATTTGGGCCTTCGGTGGAGCCCCCCATGGAGCCACGAAGCGCTGTTCTGAATGGGGGAGACGCATGTGGGCGGTGCCATTGAGGCTTTCAGTGGAGCTCCCTTTAGGACCGCGAAGCGCTGTTCTGGGTGGGGGGGACGCATGTGGACACCGCAACTGGGGCCTTAAATGGAGCTCCCTACGGGGCCACGAAACGCTGTACTGGACGGGGGACACGCATGTGGACACCGCCACTAGGGCCTTAGGCGGAGCTCCCCGTGGGACCACGAAACGAAGTGCTGGGTGGGGGAGACGCATGTGAGACAGCGCCACTGGGGCCTTTCCCCGTGGGGCCACGAAGCGCTGTGCTGGGTGGGGGAGACGTAGTGGACACCGCCACTGGGGCCTTCGGTGGAGCTCCCCATGGGGCCACGTAGCGCCGTGCTGGGTGGGTGGGACGACGTCGAAGACATGCGGAGGGCAGAGGCAGGGTTGGGAGGAGGGAGGAGGGGGAAGAAGCGGAGGCGAGGAGGAGGAGGAGGAGAACGCAGGGCGCTGTCTCTTCAAAACGAGGACCCAACTCCACAGGATGGCTGGGAACAACTTCCGATGTGAACTTCTGCCGCGATGGGTTCTTGCCTCCAGGGGGTCGGGGAAGGGAGGGGTATCAGTCCTGCCCCTCGAGCTCACCCTCCTGAGGGAGCGGCGGGAGCTGGCGCGGCGAGACCCCGAGGTGGCGCCGGCCCCGCCTGCGCCCGGAGCTGCCACATGCGGGGCGCGGAGCCCGCGACGTGCCAGGAGAGCATCATGCTCCGCGCGGGGGCCCGGGGTGGGGGCGTCGGAGATTTTCTCGGGCGGGAGCCGGTTCCAGGCTAAATCTGATGGGCCGAGTTTCCAACACCACCACCACCATCGGCAGGAGAGGGAGGAGGAGGAGGAGGAGGAGGAGGAGGAGGAGGAGGAGGAGGAGGAGGAGGAGGAGGAGGAGGAGGAGTGGGAGAGGAGGAGGGAGGAGGAGGAGGAGCAGGAGGAGGGAGGAGCAGGAGCAGGAGAGGAGGGCAGGAGGAGCAGGAGGAGCAGGAGGAGCAGGAGGAGCAGGAGGAAGAGGAGGAGGAGGAGGAGGAGTCCTACCTAGGAGTGGTGGAGGAAAACCTCCCCATTCTCCCTTTTCTCCGTCCTACCTACGGTAGTGGTGGTGGAAAACAGACCCATACAAATCGTGTCAGATCGTTCCGGGACGCTCTCAAGAGCGAATTGGGTTGGTTTGGAACGGCGGCGGCGTCCGATACATACCTCCAGACCTGCCAGCACTCAGAGATCCCCGATGATTTATCCCGATCAGATTTTGCCTCGACCTTGGCTTCGTCTCAGAGGAGCTCTTGGGAGGTTTTCGGAGCCCAGGATGGTTCCCATCAGCTGCGCCTCGTCACGGGCGTTCTGGGGATGCCGGGATCGTCCCGGGCGGCCGTTTGAGGCACAAGTTTATCATCCGAAGACGGTCGGTGGATGGCCAGTCGAGACAACGGTGGCCTCCTCTTGAGCTGTGGGGGTCTCGAGGGAAACGGGTCCCCACGTTTTCCTCGGTTTTCGGCCCCGGGGGGCCGTTCCTGGGCCCTTGAGACCGTTAAGAAACGGCCCAGGATGAAAAACTGGTCTGGGGATGGAAGGCCCTGGGGTCCAGGACCCGTTTCCGTAACGACCCGTTCCTTGACAAAGTCGACACATGGACGGCCTTCCCTCGCTAGCCGTGTCGTCCTCTTGGAGGCTTCTCGTGGCCACGGCCGGATCCGGCCTGAGTAGCTCGACTAGGGGCTCGACTACAGCATTGATGTACCCCAGAACTGTTTATTCTCGCCGAATCTACCCATATGCATACTCCAGACTTCGTAATAAAAGGGAGGAGGTCTGGACCCTCCAAGACAAGCCATTTCAGACCTCCCCCCTGGGAGAACCCTCCAAAACATCGTCCCCAGACCCCCCAGGCCCTCCAAGATAGCCTGGAAGAGACCCCCCCCGAAATGAGACCCCCCTCCCTTTATTATGAAATCTGGAGTACTGTTTAGTAGATCGAACGAGTCAATGTGAGGTGAATCAATCATGTAGTCGATCCCCTGCTCGAAGAGCGTGCCAGGATGGACCCCGAAAGGGTCGTCGGAAGGGCTTGGCCCTCGGCCGGCGCCCCCCCTCGGGCTGCAGGCGTGGCTGCGCCTGCTCGACCGGTTGGTTGGTTGGCTCGTCGGTCTGCTGGCAGGCAGCTCCGCCTCCTCCGCCGTCCTCTTCCGCCGCTCTGCCTTCTCCTCCTTGTCCCCCTCCCCCTCCTCCTCCTCCTCCTCCTCCTCCTCCTCCTCCTCCTCCTCCTCCTCCGCCGCCGCCGCCGCCGCTGCCGCCGCCGCCGCCCTCCTCCTCCTCCTCCTCCTCCGCCGTCCTCCTCCTCCTCCTCCTCCGCCTCCTCCTCCGCCGTAGCCTCGGGAGCGCGCTCACACCTTCATGTACTCGATTGGCTTACAGTGGAGACCCATGCCAAGGAACACCCTGCTTGCCTCCAGGGTGCCCGGGGTGTCTTGGGGTGGCTTTGCAGGGGAGAGCGTGGCGTTCCCACGCCCCAAAAATGAAGTGATGGCCCGGGGTCTCGGGGTTGGGCTTCTGGTGGAAGGTGTCTCGTGGTCGGGCCCCTACTGTGCGCCATTCCGCCGACCCCCAGAAAGGAGTCAGAGATTGCGGCGGCCTTGGAAGCTATCCAGTGGCCGTCGGCCCAACCGGCCATCGTGAGTGGGCTGTGGGTCAGGAGCCTCTTGGATTCATAGGAGGGTCTCTTGGGATGTCTCTCAGGGGTCTCTCGGAGGGCGCTTCGGTGCATTTGGGAGGCTTTGGGGGGACCTCTGAGGGGCCTGCTGAGGGCTCCTTGGGGGCGCCTTGGAGGCCGCTTGGGGCCTCTTGGGGACGCCTCGGGGGCCTTTCGGGCGCTCTTGGGGTCCTCTTGGGGGAAAGGCTCAAAATATCAGTACGTACAGCCAAGACGCTGAAATAAGGAACAGTTTGGATTCGGAAGGGGCTCGATGTTCCTTACATCCTTCCGTGGTTGATCTTGGGGGTCCCGTGGGCAGTCTCAGACGTTGTCAAGACGACAAAAGCAAGCGTGCTGCAAGTGCACGTTTTCCAAAGGGAATGGGACGATGTTTGCCTCTTGGGGCTTTTTTTCGGCGGTCCTCTTAGAACACTCTTGGGCAGTCTTGGGGGCCTTGTGGGCCGGCTTGAAATCATCTTGGGTCGTCGTGGGGCTACTCAGGGCCGTCTCGGCGCTCTCTTCGACTGTCTTGGCGCTCTGTCTGGGACCTCTTGGGGCTTTTCGGAGGCTCTGGAGGCCCGAGGGTGCACTGACTAGCCCGTGCCCCTCCCCCCCCCCCTCCCCCTCCCCCCTCCCCCCTCGAACGGCATTGGGCCGCAGGGGACGCAGGAGAGGGGGGGAAACGGGGATGGGGGACGGCCGAGCTTCTCACGCGCCCTCTCGCCCTCGGCAGGCGGGGGTCGGCGGACTCGGGGTCTCGGCTTCCGGAGCGCGCCTGCCTCAATGGTTTAGCGAATTCTGCGCATCGGGCCCAAGGCAGAACTGTACCCCTCGGTCTTTGAAAGCAGGCATTTGTGGATTCCCAGATTCCAGTCTACTTTCAGCGCCTTCCTACTTCAAGAGTCGAGTGGTTTTCCCTCTTCCCTCCTCTTCAGGAGGCGTGCGGAAACCCAATCTATTTCCAACGCCTTCCTACTTCATGTTTCTACCTACTTTTTCCGACCGATGAGTAAGGAAATGACAAGGGTGTGGGGGAGGGGGGGGGGGGGGGGCGAAAGCGCCCCCACGGAACACCGATCCCCTGCGGCAGGCTGCAGCGTTTCAGCTCCGGGGCTTCCGTGCAGCCTCCGCGGGGTGGGCGCCACTTTCTTGCGGCAACTCGCAGCGGGCCGTGGCCTCGGGCGCGCGAGCTGTGAGGGAGTGCTGCCTCGGGGGCGCAGGAGGTCCGCAGTTGTTACCATGGGTCGTGGCCTCGGTCGTGCGATCGCGCTGTGCTTTACACCAGGGCCTGCGGCTTCGGGGTCGCGACCGCGACGTGTTCTGCGAGGAAGTGTGTGTCCTCGAGAGCGCGAGCGCGCCGCAGGTTACCAAAGCACTGCGGCCTCGGAAGCGCGAGCCTGTGGCGAGGTGCCGTGGGCTGTTGCTGCTGCGGGAGCGCGAGCGCGACGTGACCTACGATCGGGCTGTGGCCCTGGGAGCGCGAGCGCGTCGTGATTTGCCAGGGGCTCTGGCCGTTGGGGGCGCGAGCGCGCCGGGGTCGTGGCCTCCAGCGCGCGGAGGCCACCGGAGTTTACAAGTGGTTGGTTGGCCTCTGGAGCGCGACTCCTTGCTGTAAGCTGCAGAAGGAGTGAGGCCTCGAGCGCGAACGATCTGCCAGGAACTGTGCCCACAGTCGACCCGCATAGGAAGGATGGGCATCCCTCCCAAAGGGTACCATTGCATCCTTGCCTCCTGGGCTCATCCTTGGACACTTTCGTTGGCCGCGCCCGGCTCGAAACGCTTCGAAAGGGGCGTCCAAGGCCATTGCACCCTTATCGCGCACCCTTACTATTTGGGTTGACTGCACGGGAGCGTCATCGCATTGTACGAATCGATCGATTGTAGAAAACTGGAGGACCAGAGAAACCCCTGTATGCATCAACGATGTTGCCTTGCAGCCTCCCGTCCCAGGTTGGCTCCTCATAAGTCCGCACAATTCCTTTCACTCAAGAAGCACCCCCTTGAAAAATTATGGCTTGCCATCCAGGCAATAGGGCAAGAGTCCAATGTTGGAACTGCTTTATATGGTTCTAGCGAGTAGCAGGACGTGCAAAGGAGGTACGATCAGTCAGGTCAACGAGGTGTCCAGCAAGATCCTCGTGTTGAAAATTATCGTTCACCTTCGGTATAACTGCTGCACAAGTTCACACGCCTTTCGACGAAGCCTCAAGCGAGAGCACTATAGCTCGAAAAGGGACCGGCTTCACCGATGCAATTGCTGCAAACGTTAGAAGCCCGATGCTTATCCCCCCCTCCACCGTTGTGGCTTCTGAACTTGTGAAGAGAGGCCGACCTAAATGATGTTTTGGCGATTTCGTGGGCCGTTTTCGTTTCGACTTCGTTTTGCAGCAAATGCGGATTGGAGACAAAACGAAGGAAAACGAAAACTAAACGAAACATGATAACATTGTTTAGGGCCATCCTTGTTTTGAATACTTCCGATCACAAGTGGTTAGGAGGGGGGGAAGAGGAGGAAGAGGAAGGGGGAGATGGATAGCATGAGGAAGGAGGCAGGGGAGGAGGAAGAGGAGGAGGAGGAGGAGGAGGAGGAGGAGGAGGAGGGCGAGGGCGAGGGCGAGGGCGAGGGCGAGGGGATGGAGGGGGAGGGAGGATCGAGGGGAGGGGAGGAGGGGGGGCGGGGCGGGGAGGGGAGGGGAAGATGGACCCCGCGCGCCTTGCGACCCCGAGGTTAGCAGCCAAGAGTGCCGACCCGGACCACGACCCTTGCGACGAGGATCGCGCGGCGGCCCGCCTTCGGGGGGCCGCCCGTTGCTGCCCCCCCCCCACCACCAGATCATCCGGGCGAGGGACCCAACCGTGTGCAGTTGTGGGTGACGCAGATGTGGGTATCGACCGCCTCCTCCTCCTCCTCCTCCTCCTCCTCCTCCTCCTCCTCCTCCTCTCCCTCCTCCTCCTCCTCCTCCTCCTCCTCCTCCTGCTGCAGGAGGAGTGACGCAGACGGTGAACCTCTCTGGGGTCACGACGCGTGTGACGGGTGTGCCAACATTGGCACGGGTAAACCCATGCGGACGTTGCCACCAGAGCCGTCGGCGGAGCACCCTATGGGGCCGCGGAACGTGCAAGGGGTGCGCCGAAATGGGGTGTGGAACTGCACGCGGACCCTGCCACTGGGGCCTTCGGCGGAGCACCCTATGGGGCCACGAAACGTGTGAGGGGTGTGCCGAAATGGGGGGGTGGAACCGCATGCGAACGCAGCACTGTGGCCTTCGGTGGAGCTCCCTATGGGGCCACGAAGCGTCCGAGGGGTGCGCCGAAATGTGGGTGGAACTGCATGCGGGCGCTGCCGCTGGGGCCTTCGGTGGAGCTCCCTATGGGGCCACGACACGAAACGTCCGAGGGGTGCGCCGATATTGAGGTGGAACTGCATGCGGACCCTGCCACTGGGGCCTTCGGCGGAGCACCCTAAAGGGCCACGAAACGTGTGAGAGGTGCGCCGAAGTGTGGGTGGAACTGCATGCGGACCCTGCCACTGGGGCTTTCGGCGGAGCACCCTGTGGGGCCACGAAACGTGTGAGAGGTGCGCGGAAACGGAAGTGGAACTGCATGCGGACCCTGCCACTGGGGCCTTCGGTGGAGCACCCTATGGGGCTGCGAAACGTGTGAGGGGTGCGCCGAAATGGGGTGTGGAACTGCATGCGGACCCTGCCACAGGGGGCCTTCGGTGAAGCACCCTATAGGGCCACGAAACATGTGAGGGGTGCGCCGAAATGGGGGTGGAACTGCATGCGGACCCTGCCACTGGGGCCATCGGCGGAGCACCCTATGAGGCCACGGAACGTGTGAGGGCTGTGCTGAAAGGGGGGTGGAATTGCATGCGGACCCTACCACTGGGGCCTTCGGCGGAGCACCCTATGGGGCCACGAAACGTGTGAGAGGTGCGCCGAAATGGGGGTGGAACTGCATGCGGACCCTGCAACTGGGGCCTTGCGGAGCACCCTATGGGGCCACGAAACGTGTGAGAGGTGCGCCGAAATGGGGGTGGAACTGCATGCGGACCCTGCCACTGGGGCCTTCGGGGGTGGAACTGCATGCGGACCCTGCCACTGGGGCTTTCGGCGGAGCACCCTGTGGGGCCACGAAACGTGTGAGAGGTGCGCCGAAATGGAAGTGGAACTGCATGCGGACCCTGCCACTGGGGCCTTCGGTGGAGCACCCTATGGGGGCCACGAAACGTGTGAGAGGTGCGCCGAAATGGGGGTGGAACTGCATGCGGACCCTGCCACTGGGGCCTTCGGCGGAGCACCCTATGGGGCCACGAAACGTTGTACGAGGTGGGTGAAACGCAGGGAGGAGGGAGAAGGGGGAGGGGGAGGAGGCAGCGGGAGGAAGGTGGGAACGCGGGGCGCTGTCTCTTCAAAACGAGGACCCAACACCACAGGATGGTTGGGAAAAAAACACACTTGGCCCGGCGGCTGCCGGCGTCCGCTCACTGTGTTCCGAAGACGGAGAGGCGCGGCAGAAGCCCCTCACTCCTCCTCCCGTCTCCCTCCTTCCTTCTTCCTCCTTCCTCCCTCGTGTTACCCTCCTCCCCGCCCTGCCCTGGCCGGTTTTTGACCGCCAGGGGCAGGGCGATGCTGCCTTAGCTGCTTTCTGAGCTCGCTGCTCCATCCTGGCGGCCCCACAAAAGGGGTGGGGGGCCAGACGGCGCTGCGGGGACGACGCTTCCTCCTGCCGAGTCGATCCGATCCGATCCGATCCCTCCCTCCCTTTCGGATGCAACCCCTGGGAGGTTTAATTCTGCCTTTGCCCTGGTCCGAGATGCAGTTTAATCCTATTCAGTCCCGCTTAATCCCGTTTAATCCGCGGCCTAATTTGGCGTAGCAGCTCCCCAACGGGGGTTCAATCTTCCTTCATCCATCCGACGAAGACCTCCCAGCAGTTGCCTCCCAACTCCCTCCCCTCCCCTCCCTCCCTCGCCTCTTTCTCTGTGCCTCGCTTGTGCCGGCAGCTCCCTTCCGCAGCGACGCCGACCGCCTCCCCCACTGCAGCGGCGCCGGCCGCGGCTCTCCCTGCGGAGGGACCGGCCGCTGCTGCGGCACAGGCGGCTGCTCTCGAAGGAAATTGATCGGCAGCAGCGTACAGCCAAGACGCTGCAGTCAGGACCGCTTTGGGTTCGGAAGGGGCTCGCTGTTCCGTGGGTCATCCTGCGGTCGTTCCTCTACAAGCCCCCTTCCTGACCGGACGCCGGGCACCTAACCTGACGCCGGACCCGCTGCCGGTGGGCTCCAGTACCACCCTGGCGAGGTGACGTCAGGTTAACCACCGGGCGTCAGGTCAGGTTCAAACGCGCCGCGTCCACTGCTGGTGGGGGCGGCGTAAGGTTAGGCGCCCTGGCGTCAGGTCAGGGGAGGGGGCTCGTAGCCCTCCTCGTGCACCCAGGGCGTTCCTCATGGCAACAGCTTGCCTGTACACGTTCGGAGGTCCGCGCGGAGTTTTTGGATCGGCGCTGGCCCCCCCATCTCTGGCGCTTCCGTGCTGCCCGCCAGCGGGGGCAAAGCCCGCCGGCCTCGTGCACCTCCCCGGCCGATGTAAGACGACATTCTGTCGTAGGACGCGTAACTTGGCATCGTTCGGACGTGTGCATTTTTCTCGGCGAGGACCATCGAGAACCATACTGGATCATCTGATGCACGAAGAATGGACGTCCGAGCGATGGCAATGTAAAGGGGTTGCGATGAATGGGGGGTAGCGAGGGCTGCAGAAAAGGGGCCCTTTAGGGTCCCTAAATGGGCCCTGTAGGGCCCAAGTGGGGGCCTTACGGGCCCCCAAAGGGCACCTTTCTCCCCCTCTATTTGTCGCCCCCCATGGATTCGCGCCCCATTCTGCGTAAACATAGATTTTCGGGGGTCCGCGTGGATTCCGGGGACCGGAGCGGTAGCAGCTTCTGACGTTTCTTTCGTCCTCTCTGGGGCCTCCCGCAGCGCCCCCCTCTCCGACGCGCACAGACCTCCCATCTAAATCCCGACCAGAGCGCAGCCCCACCCCACCTGCGGCCCTCCATGTTGCGCTACGGCTTTTCGGGGGGCGTAGCGTAGACCACGTAGAAACCCACGCCGAACTTCCGAGGGGAAAAAACACACAGACACAATGGATCCTCGATCCCCCAGAAAATACGGAAAAAGATGGGAAGTGGGGGGAAGTCAAAAACCCAGAAAATACAGGAAAGTATGGGGAGTCTTTGATTCGTACGTATTTATCTGTGTGTCCCAGGGCCCCCTGAGTGGTGTCATTTGTTTCCTGGTCCGGCCCAGGGCAGGTCGGGTCGCCGGTGCACGAGGGGGAGCAGCCCTCGGACACGGACGCTCTTCTCGTGGCATTGGCATCGCTCGGACGTGTGCATTTTTCTTTCGGCGAGGAGCATCGATGAGCAGCCTTGATCACTTGGCGAAAAAACCACGCGCGAAACCGGAAAAAAACACAGGGAATGGACGTCCGAGCGATGGCCAGTGGCAGTCTTGGAGCGATTCTGAGGCCAGCAGGGCCATCCTGGAGTCCCCAGAGTGGCCCTGCAATGGGAAGAGCTGTTGCTAGTCGGCGCATGCGGCAGATTCTGGGAGGCCCTTGTTCGACATGTTTGTTCCCTTCAGTGCCCGGCCAGCTGGCCTGACCTCCAGGAGGCTTTCCGCGGTCAATGTTCGATCATGCCCCATTGGTGGCGCAAAGCTTCGGATAGTTTCGTGGTGCGCTCTTGAGGTCGCACAGCGGCAGTAGGGCGGTGGTGTCTGTGGCCGTGTCCTCGCCAATTACATGGTGAGAGCCACATCGTTGCACTATGTTCCTTTCTGCCGCCGCGCATCAGTCGCTGAAGAGAAGCTCCACAGAGCATACAGTCGCTTGCCGAAGGCGGTCCCGAGCGAGAGCGCGAGAGCGAGAGGAGATGAGATGGGATGCAAGAGGGGAAGAGAGGGGAGGGGGGCACGAGAGTGCAGAAGAGGAGGGGACAGGAGAGGACACTCCAGGAGGTCAGGGGGGCAGGGAGAGGAGGGGAAGAGGAGAGCAGGAGGGGGTGGGGCGGAGGGCAAAGGCCAGGGGGGTGAGCACACGCGACGGGAGCGGAGCGGAAGGGACGGGAGAGAGGAGAGGAGAGGACGCCAGCGAAGCTGCGAGGAAGTGAGCGGAGATCTGCGCATGCGCGCAGGCCTTCGCAGCTGTGGTACGTCAATGCGGCGCGTGCAAAGGGTGCCGGGCCGGGAACTCGCAGGCCTATCGGTTGACACCACCACCAACACCAATATCGGCGCTGTGCCTTCACCGAGGGCAGACGATCCCGACCCCGGTGATGGTGGTAATATGTGGGCTTCCTGGTTTGCGGGGATCTTACCACCGACACCGAAATCTAGGATCACCTTCCCCTGGTAGAACACACCCTTGTGTTGGTGTCGATGCCCATTTCCAAGTCTCCAAGGGATGTGTGTGTCTTCTTGGGCGCACGTGCAATACTTCTGTGCGGTGACGCTCTTGGTGTGGGTGGCATTTCTGGTATGGTGTGGCCATGAAGGTGGGCACTTCGGGCGAGCCCAAGGGCCGACAAGCCAGAAAGGTGAGACGGGAAGAGGGAGCAGGAGTGACCGGGAAGAGGGAGCAGGAAGTGAGAGAGGCGAAGACGGAGGAGACGAGTCGGGTGGGGAGGTGGGGTCAAACAAGTTCCACAGGGGACACGTGAACGGAGAGGATGATGGAGCGGAACGCAGATAGTATGCTCAATGTATTCTTGCTTTGCTGGTCTACGGCTGCCCTATTTGAGCCCCGTTGAGGGATAGTCATGTCCTACGTTCTTCGCCACTTGCATTGCTTCGCTCATGCTCCTGTCCGCATTCCTATTCGACCCCATGCCCCAGTCCACTACTCCGATGTCGCGCACACACACACACTTGTCTATATTGCAGGCCTTTCCTTGGATATGTGCAGCGCTTCAGCAAGCCGGTCGCAAGGGAGACGTGCCTATGTGATTGTTTTTGTTGTTCTCTCGCTCTTTCTCTCTCTCTCTTTCTCTCTCTTTCCGTGTCAGTCTCAGCCTCTCTCTTTCTCTCTCTTTGTCTCTCCTTCCCCCCATCAAACAGTTGCACTCGGTACGTCGGAGTTCCCACTTCCTTTGATCCCCAGCCCTCCTGATCACCCCATGTTTTTTGGACCCTCGAATACATCTGGAACCCCGTCACTCACAGTGCACTCTGACCCACCCCCCCTGCAGCACTCCTGATCACCCCGCTCTTGGAAGGGCAGCAGTGGGACAAGACACCTGGAGGGCAGTGGTGAGGATCCTCAGGGGATGCCAGGCCCGACGGCGCAGGGAACGTGGAATCCGAGCCTGCCCTGAGATCCGACCTGGCGAAAAAATGTTTTGTTAGGGCATGGCCATTACCTTTTTGATTATTTTGTTTCGGAAGATGCGTTTGAATTAAGTGCCGCATGTCTCCGCCACCGGTTTGGGCGGCAGGCCGCTGTGCGTGCGGCTGAACCCACATGGCGCCACATAAAAGGACCTCCCCGCCCCCCCCTCCTCGCATCGGGTGAGTTCACCGCGGGAGAATCTAGTTCTGTTATGGCATGGCCAGTAACCTTGGGATTATCCCTTCTGTCGCCCGCTCCTCTCTTTCCTTCTCTCGCTCCCTGGCCGCAGCCCTCTAGGGTTCGAGCTGGTTGCGCTACTTCTACCCTGCCCCCCCGGTCTTTCCCGTCTCGAAACGGGCGGGCGGCGGACCGCTGTGCGGCTGAACCCACAGAGCGCCACGCAAGAGGACCTTCCCGCTCCCTCCCTCCGCGCATCGGGTGAGTTCACCGCGGGAGCGTCTCGCGTCGTCGTAGGAAACTCGCGCCAGGAGCCCCAGACCCTCCTCTTCGTGCGCCACTCCTCGAGCCGGCGCTCGATCTCTGCGCGGGCCCCGGAGCCGGAGACGGGGGCGCGCCGGGCGCTGGGGGGCGGTGGGGCCCCTCGGGGGCTCCCGGGCCCCACGGCTCTTGGCGGCATCGCTCGGACGTGTGCATTGTTTTCTTTCGGCGAGGGAGCATCGGGGAGCATCCTGGATCATTTGGCGAAAAAAAACCACGCACGAAACTGCAAAAAAAACACAGGGAGTGGACGTCCGAGCGATGGCGAGGGCTCGGGGAGCGCGGCGCCCGCGCCCGGGGCCCGGGCCTTCCGCCGCGCCCCCAGCCCTGGGGCCCCCGCTCGTCGCCGCGCGGGGTGGCCTCGGGCTCTCTTCGCCGGCCTCTGTGGGCGAGCCCGGCCCAGCCTTGAGTCGGGCTTGTCCCTCTGCAGTCGGGGGCGGAAAACAGGGGGGTGATGACTAGGCGGGGGTGGATATCATGGCGGGGGCCATGATATTTCCCCAGACGTCACGGCGCCTCTTCTTATTTCATTACGTCCCTGGCCTCCCCGCTGGGCCGCGCACATGCCGCCGGTCATGATTTGCACCCCCCCCCCCTCTTGGACACCCTCCTCTTGGCCGCTCCCGATACAGGGGGGCAATTCAAGAATAGTCAAAAAGTAGTGTGGGGGCCATTTTCTTTACTATTTGTTGTTTAAAAATGGTAGTACTTGTTGGATCATTCTCAATGTTTCGCCCAAAATCCCCCTCTAGGGGGACAGGCGCGACTTAAGCCCAGCCCCGGCGGGTCATGCTGCAGCTGTTCGCAGTAGCGCCCGCCCCCTGCGCGCCTCTGCTATATTCGGTCTTGCGGGCCGCGAGCCCCCTCGTCCCTCGGCATCTGCCCCGCTCCCACCCCCCGCCTCCGCTCCAGCTCAGGCGCGCCTCCTCCAGGCGCTGCTCGGGCACCTCCTCCGGGCTCCGACCAGCAGCAGCAGCCGGGACGCGGCAGAGCTGACCGCGCAGTCGGACGGCAGGCGCAGTTTGGTTTGCCGCCTCCGTGCCCAGACCTGGCCGACCCTCTGTTGGAGGGGGGCTGCCTGCACACTTGGGGCCGTCTGGAGGTTTGAGGTGGCCCAGCACCGGTCCCGGCGAGGAGGAAGGGCGGGCAGGTTCGAAGTTTCGTGTTTTTGTTTTTGCTCGGCCCCTGGGGGCCACATTCGGGCCCCAGGATTGTCAGAATCGGATTTGGGGCGAAACACGGCGGGTCCCGGGAACGATTTTGAGCGGATTCGGTTTCATCCCCCCTCTTGAACGATCTTCTGGGGCCCCAACCAGCTCAGACCCCGCAGCGGCATCCCCCCGCACACACGCTCAAGAACTACATGCTCCGAGCGCGCCCCTCTCCTCCCCCCGCGCGCCTCCCTCCGCCTTCGTCTCTTCCTGTGCTCCAGATGGCCCCGCAGCGTCCCCCGGCCGCCGTCGAGCGCCGTTTGGCCTCGAGCGGCTGCGGCAAACAGCTTGGGGCGGGGGGTGGCGCCGTGCTCGGCGGGGGGCAGGTGCAACCCGGTGCTCGACGCTGGGTGCGGAGAGGCGAGGCCGGACCAGGACCCGTTCAACTGCAGCGCCGGCGGCCCGGCAGCGCCCGGTCTACGGTCGGCTGCTCGTGATGCGGGATGACGGTCAATAAAAAAATGGGAGAGAATTATTAAACATATAGTTTTCTGGAGAACATTAAGAACTATTTTAAAAAATGGAGGATAACGATATAAAGAATAGTTTTCCAGCCCGCGGCCGTTTTTTTCTAGTCGTCATCCCGGGCGCCGCCGCGTGAACACGACCCCTGGTCATTTATTAATCGTCATCCTCCATTATGATGGGGGGGACACTTGTCGGGGGCGGCAGAGAGGGGGGTGATGACTAAGAGGGGGGCTGGATATATCAGGGCGTGGGCCATGATATTTCCCCAGATGTCACGGCGCCTCTTCTTGTTTCATGACGTCCCTGGCCCCCACCCTGGGCCGCGCACATGCCGCCGGTCATGAGTTGCGACCCCCCCTCTTGGACACCCCCCTCTTGGCCGCTCGAGAGGATCGAGATGGGTACGGAAGTCGAGGGACCATCAATTATCATAAACGTAAGATTTCGAAGTTCAGCGCGGATTTCTTGGATCCGCGTTGGGGCCCCCGGCGGCGCCTCCAGCGCCATCCTTGGCGCGCTCCGCGCGCCAGGGAGGGATGTCCAGCGCCGGTCCGAGAACTCCGCGCGGACCTCCGCGTTTCATTATGTATGTCATGTTTGTTGCACTAGAAATTGGCAGGGAAATCATGGATGCAGAGACCGACAGCAGTTCCTGTTCATCTAGGCATCTCCTGGATGGGGTCGGAGTGGATACGTAGGTCGGAGGATCGCACTGCATCGACGATGCATCGGCGATGCGGCTCGATGTGGAGCCCGACTTTTTCCGCGCCGTCGGCGCCGATGCATCGTCGGCGCCAGGGTGGCATTTCAGGTTTCTTGGATCGGCGCCTGGGCCCCCTGGCGGCGCTCTGGCGCCGCCCCTGGCACGGGGATCCAACGCAGGTTGAAGAACTCTGGTCGGACCTCCGTGTTGACATTTCGCTGGAGTGACCTTTGGGTGCGGGCCCACAGGTCGGAGGAGGAAGAAGAGTTGCCGATACCGCCTTTTTGGAGCCTCTTGGGAGGCCCTCGTCGCCACGGCCAGATTCTCCTCTCGAAATGTTGGTCGGGATTCGCCCCAGAAGAGGTCGAAGGGCGGCATCGGTGTCTTCAGGTTGCCCCAACAGGGCTCGGGACGATCGACAGGAGTACGGAAAGAATGGATTACGAAGACCGACGGTTCCTTTTTATGTTGAGCAGCATTCGTGGTCGGTGTCGCCGCGGACGTTGCCCGTTTGAGACAGAATGCCGATTGCCCAGCAGCGTCCGTTGCCGGTGTTGGACAACTTTGGTTGTTGGGCATCGTGCCTATTTCCCCATACAGTGGAAATCCATGCCAACAAACACCCTGCTTGCCTGCAGGGTTCCCTGGGTGTCGTGGGTTTCGATGGTTTTGCTATGGGAAGCGTGACGTTCCCACACCAAAAATCGATGGACGTCCTGGGGTCTCAGGGTTGGGTTCTTGTGGAAGGTCTCTTGTGGCCGAACTCCTATAGTACCTATTTCGGGCATCCGAACTTGGTGCGAGCTTTCGTGGATGGCCCCAGCATTGGCCTGCGCGCTCGAATATGGCCCCCCACGGTCCAGAAAGCAGGGCCCCCGATGGTCAGTCCTGCCCAGGGCCGCTCTTGCGTGCAGGCGAGCCAGGGCCCCTCTAAGCCTCCTCCTGCTCCTGACGGGTAGGAGGATAAGGTGGAAGATGCCCAGGAGAGAGATGAGGCGGGTGACGAGGAGGTTGAGGCAGAAGAGGGGCAGGAAGAGGAGCATGAGCAAGAGGAATAGGATGTTGTTGATGATGATGATGATGATGCTGATGCTGATGCTGATGAGGATGAGGACGAGGATGAGGATGAGGACGAGGACGAGGACGAGGATGAGGATGAGGATGTGGATGTGGATGAGGATGAGGATGAGGATGAGGATGAGGATGAGGATGAGGATGAGGATGAGGATGAGGATGAGGATGAGGATGAGGATGAGATGAGGATGAGGATGAGGATGATGATGATGATGATGATGATGATGATGATGATGATGATGATGATGATGATGATGATGATGATGATGATGATGATGATGATGATGATGATGATGATGATGATGATGATGATGATGATGATGATGATGATGATGATGATGGTGGTGGTGGTGGTGGTGGTGGTGGTGGTGGTGGTGGTGATGATGATGATGATGATGACGATGATGATGATGATGATGATGATGATGATGATGATGATGATGGAGGAGGAGGAGGCGGAGGAGGAGGAGGAGGACAAGAGGGCTTGTGGTGAGGCTTCATTGTCGTCAGAACTCAAGCTCAAACCGTGCGTATACTTGTACACATGTACATATTCATTGCCGACGAAGGCCTGGGGGTGCTAGAACCTTCACGCGTGGTTATAACTATGTTCTCAGTCAGAGGTAGCCACCAGAATACGTGTGCAACACAGTCTGGCCGCCTGAATATTGCAGACGGCACGAGCAGGAGCCTCATACACAGGCAGCATGTGAGAATCTCTCGAGCGAGAGCCTCGCTTTGTCCGCAGATTGGCAGGAGGTCCGAGCGGGAGCCCTCAACCAAGGCCCCCACTTTCAGAGCCGATGGCACCCCCCCCGTAGGCGCCCACGACTTGGGGGGACCGAAGCCCGATCTGCCTTGGCCGCCTTCCTACTTCCTGCTTCTGCCAGCCCCTCCAGCACGGCCAGCAATCCACGCGACGGCGGCGGCGACGCCGCGACGTCGGCGGTGGCGACGACGGGGGTGGCGAAGGCGGGGAGCCTAGCCTTGTGTAGAGGTTAGGCGTACTTCCCCCCCCCCCCCCTGGAGCCTCTCGGGCCGACGGCACCCGTGCTGACAGGACGGGCTCAGCAGGGCCCCTCGCCATGCTGGCTGGCGGCCCGGCGCCCCGATGCGCCCCGCCCAGGGGCGTTGCATCCACGAGGCGGTCGAGGGGCAACATGCCCTCCACCGTTTCCCCCTCCTCCCCCTCCTCCCCCTCCTCCCCCTCCCTCCTCCTCCTCCTCCGCCTCCCTCCTCCTCCGCCTCTCCTCCTCTATTTCCTCATCCTCATCTTCCTCATCCTCATCCTCCTCCTCCTCCTCCTCCATCTCCTCCTCCTCCTCCTTCTCCTCCTCCTCCTCCTCTTCCTCCTCCTCCTCCTCCTTCTCCTCTCGGGATAGCCAGCAGGGGCTCTGGAGGGGCCACTCGTCCAGCGCTGGCTGAGGAGGGGCTGAGCAGGGGATGCGGGGCGGCAGTTTGAAGGACCACTTTCGTGCGCTCCGATCGCCCCCGCGCTGAGGTCCCCCCGACGGGGCGGCTCGCGGTCGGGTCCGATCCCCAAGCTTCGATATCCAGAGCTCGATGAGATCCGACCCGAGCCGCTCCCTCGACGACTGGGGCGCGACCCGATCCGATGCATTTCCCGCCCGATGTCGCGAGGCCTGCTCGAGCCCTCCTCCCTTCTCAGGCGATCGCAAACACGGATCAAGGGGGCGTGGATTAGCGACGGTCAGGGTTGAGCGATCCACGCTGTGTAAGAAACCAACGCCTAAGTCGTCATGACGTCGACGATCGACGCTCCATCCATGTCCCTACTGCTGCTCACTGGGCGCCAGAGGAAGCAGGGCATGGATAAAAAGACGAGGCCAGAATTTGCAGGCCATCGCAAACATGGATCGAGGGGGCGTGGATCAGCGACGGGCCCCGCCTCCATGGCAAACCGCGGAGTTCCGCCGCCGAGCGAGGCGGCGCTGGCCGTATTTTACGGAGAGGCACCTCCCCGGATCCATGGATTTGGCGACCGCGCGCCAAACCCACCGACCGCTACTCCATGTCTGCGCTCCCCCGACCCTCCTCGGGCGCGGCTAGGACTGGGACAGTGTGCCGGAGCGCCCTCGGAGCTTGCTGTAGCGCTCTGGCGTGGCCGCAGCGCCCGATGCACATCGTCCAGAGCCACGGGGTCTCGGAGATCCCGATGTACCCCTGTCCGGTTTTGTCCTGGCCCTGGGCTCGTCTTAGCCGAAGCAAGCGGCATAAATAGAAATTTTCGGAGGTCCGCGCGGATTTCTTGGATCGGCACGGGGTCAGCATCGGGCGAATGGGGGACTTTGGAAATGGGGCCGCGAAACGTGCGCGCAATAGTTCATGAAATAGTTGAACACGATCACATACATCGTATTGTTCCTTGTGCCATAGTCGGGATGCAATTGATTGATCGCGCGAGCGCAATTGTGTATCTCTGCGATGCAATAGTTTGTATTATCGTTTTTTGCGAGCAATCGTTTGCAATCGTTGGCCTGCTACCATGCAATAGTTGCTTCTGGTCATGCAATATGACGCAATAGTTGAGCCCGCGGGCACGATAGCTCGCAATAGTTGCGCGCAATAGTTCCACACAGAGAAATATTGCAGCTGCGGTTTGCGGCCCCATTTCCAAATACCCCATTTCCCTGTACAGGGGAGTCCTGAGGACTCCCCTGGCGGCGCCTCCAGCGCCGCCACTGGCGCGCTCCGCGCTAAAGGGAGGGGGGGGCAGCGTCGATCCAAGAAATCCGCACGAAGCTCCGAAAGTTTATGCTCATGCAGTCTTTAATTACGGTGGAAGCCCAGGCCAAGGAATACACTGGTTGCCTCCTGGGTGCTCTGGGTTTCTTGGGTTTCGATGGCTTTGTTCTAGAAGCGTGACGTTCCCACGCCAAAAATCAATGGTCGTCCTGGGGTCTCAGGGTTGGGTTTCTTGCAGAAGGCCTCGTGTGGTCCAGCTCCTACTAGATTCTGGATGTTCTCATGGCCCTGGCCTCGCCTTACGCCTCCCAGCCCCCGCGCTGACGCCCCCACCCCTGGCATCGCTCGGACGTGTGCATTTTTCCGTCGGCGAGGACCATCGAGGAGCATCCTTGATCATTTGGCGAAAAAAACCGCACGAAACCGAAAAACACACAGGGAATGGACGTCCGAGCGATGGCCAGCCACCGAGGTCCACAGCACGTGGCAGACCACGCGGGCCCCCGCTCGCCGCCGCTCATCGCCTTCGGCGGCGGCAGCCGCGGCCGCCGCCGCCGTCGTCCACCGACGCGCCGTCGTCCACGTCGCCGCCGCCGTCGACGCCGCCGCCGCCGCCGCTCCTCGGCGGCCTCGCCGCCGTCCCCGCCCGCCGCCGCCCGCCGCCGTCCGCCCACCCTCTGCGCGCTTCGCCCTGTCGCCGCCGTCTCCGTGCCCCGCCCCTCTCTCTGTCTCTCTATCCTCGGGGGTGGGCAGGCCTCCTGCCCTGACACGTCGATGAGCGAATTGGCCGTTCTCGGTTTGCAAGAGGGCGTCACGGCCGTCATTTTTGCGGGTCCAGGTCCGTCGGTTTCGGTCCTAGGTTTGTGTCGCTGAAGGGAGGTTTACTAACCGCCGGGTGCCTTGGCATCGCCAGCGGACGTGTGTGTATTTTTCTCGGCGGTGCCGGCGCCAGCAACTCTAGACCTCGGGGCTCAAGAGACGGGGGTCAATGCAAACGGACGTCAGCCAGGGCACTGGATCCTGCAGGATCCTGCGAAGACCCCCTTTGGTTGACCCGGGCTTGCGAGCCGCTAGTGGCTGCGAGGCGGCCGCGCATAGTGGCTGACCCGGGTTTGCGAAGCCCTGCGTTGCAGTTTTTTTTTCCTGCATTGGTTTCCTGCTGACCCGGGTCTGGATTGACTTGGAGGGGGCGAACTGGGCCATCCAGGGGGTGGATGGACAAGTGGGCTGTTCATCGGGTGGATGGAAGCGCGGTGGTGCGAGAAATCACAGCTGGGATTGCGGATGGCTCGGCCGTCCACTTTCACCTCGTCCCTCAACCATCTTTGCTGGAATCAGCTCCTGCCAGCTAGACAGCCCTGGGCCCTCTCGACTGTCTCCACTTCTCTTGCGTATTTAATGGTCCCACTGGCTTTTGATCTCTTCTCCCTTCATGTTTTCTCAGTGTCCTCCACACCTGTACTGCTGCCCTTCTAGACGCGGTGAACTTGCCTCGACGTTGGGTTGTCAAAAAAAGGGGGAGGAGGAGGGGAGGAGGAGGAGAAGGAGGAAAAGGAGGAGGAGGAGGGAGAGGTGATAATGGGATGAATGAGGGAGGAGGAGGAGGAAAAGGAGGTTCATAAGGATGAGCGTGGAGGACGATGAGGGAGGAGGGCGGGAGCAGGATTGCGGAGGATGATGGAGGAGGAAGGAGGGGGGGCGGAAGGATGAGGACATGTGAGGAGGAGGAGGAGGAGGAGGACGACGACGACGCGGGGCGAAAAGGGAGAAAAGGGACGACGAGGTGCGGGGCGAGAGGGCAGGAATGCTGGCGGGAGGGAGGGAGGGAGGGAGGCATGGGAGCAGGAGAAGGGGAGGGAGAGGCGGGGTGGTTTGGGATCGGTGCAAGGGCGCCCTGGGTCGCGGGAGCCAAGGCGGCCAGGCGCGCGAGTACCCTTCCCCCGAGGCGCGGAACGCCTTTCCGAGGGAGCTCTGGGAAGGGGTTCCATGAGCCGGGTGGATGGCCCACTTGGGGCCTCGGAGCATCAGCCGGACGGATGGCCCACTTGGGGCCCTGGACCAGTGCAGGGGTACTGGGTGCCCCGGTGTGATGTTCCATGAGCCGGGTGGATGGCCCACTTGGGGCCTGGGGGCGGCGAGGGGGTTGCGCGCAGGGCGTGCGAGGGTCGGGGGCGTGCATGAGCCGGATGGATGGCCCACTTGGGGCCTCGGGGGGGGCGGCCTCCAGGAGCCGGGTGGATGGCCCACTTGGGGCCTCGGAGCATCAGCCGGACGGATGGCCCACTTGGGGCCTGCATTCGGCCTCCGCGGAACAGCGTTCGGGAAGGGCTGCGCGCCTTCCCGGAACAGCGTTCGGGAAGGGCTGGCGGCGGAGGGAATGGGGAGGGGTGGGAGCGGGAGAGCACGAGGTTGGAAGAAAGGGGCAAATGGAGGGAGGGAAGGGGAAGGGGACGGGGGAAGGCGAAATAGGACAGGGGAGCTGGGGGAAGGGAGGGGGAGGGGGGGGGGAGGGATGAGGGAGGCAGAGTGCGAGAGAAAATGGGCGCGGTTGGCAGATGTAAGTAGCGGACTAGCATCAGTGAGGCGCTGAACGACACTGGTGTGGGACGCGGGGCGACGACGACGACGACGACGACGACGACGACGCGGGGCGAAAAGGGGAGTGAAGGGAGAAAAGGGGAGGTGGCGGCGGAGGGGGCAAGGGGCTGCGCGGTGGGCGGAGGCAGGGGGAGGGCCAGCACGGGAGCGTGCACGGGGCAGAGCAGGCGAAGTGGCCACTTCGGCGCCATAGAAAGGGCGCGGCGGTCGACGGGCACACACAGGACGAGAAGGAGAGAGGGTGGCAGAACAGCAGTTCCAAGGCTGCCCCTCGCAGACAATTTGGCTTCACTCGTGCGGCCTGATCCCGCTTCGAGGTGTCTCCATGTCGACGCGGTAGCGGGCCGTGGGCCGAGGCGACCGAACTGCTCCGAACGCTGGGCGGAAAGGCGTTCCAGAAATCTTGGAACGCCTCCCCGAAAGCCGTTCCATGCACCCTTTCGACGGCCCACCTTCTGGATGGCCCTGTTCGCCCCGCCTAATTGACCCGGGTCAGAAGATCCCCGAAGACCGTCTCGGAGCATCTCGGACCATCTCGAGGAAGAGCGCACGCGAAAAATTGGACAGGGCGCGTGTAGACGGCGCCCGAGCAGAGGCAGGGCGCGCTGGCCACAGAGGTTCGGGGCGGGAGGCGCGCGGTCGTGGGACGGCTCAGGCCGTTCTGCGAGGATGTTGTCGGACTGGGCTGGGACGAGGGCAGATCCGCTCCAGAGCTCGGGGGCGGAAAAGATGGGGGTGATGACTAGGGGGGGGGAATGTCATGGCGGGGGCCATGATATTTCCCCGGATTTCATGGCGCCTCTTCTTGTTTCATTACGTCCCTGGCCCCTCCGCTGGGCCGCGCACGTGCCGCCGGTCATGATTTGCACCCCCCCTCTTGGACACCCCCCTCTTGGCCGCTCCCGAAGAGCGTTTCGGAACGCGCTCAGGCCGTTCCGGAACGCTTTGCGTCTGCCGCGGCGCCCGAAGCATCTTCCAGAGCCGCTGGATCTCAGAAGGGCCCGACCTATCCTCACTCGATCTTGTCCTCGTCCTGGCTTCGTCTTCTGCTTCTCTGGGCGGCGACGACGACGTCGACGAGGACGACCACGACGACGACGACGACCACGACCACGACGGCGACGACGACGACGACGACGACGACGACGACAAACGACGACGACGGCAAACGACGACGACGAGGACGAAAAACGAACGACGAACGTCGACAAACGACGACGACGACAAACGACGACGACGACAAACGACGACGACAAACGACAAACGACGACGACGACGACGACGAACGACGAACGACGAACGACGACGACGACGACGTCGACGACGACGACGACGACGAACCACGAACGACGATCGACGAACGACGACGATGGCGTCTTGTGCTTCTCTGGGCGGCCTGGTGCCTCTCCAGGGCCCCGGGGGCCCCCTGCGGCGGCGGGCCTGGCGGCGGGGCCGCTTCACGTGGGGTCGGCGGGCCCCCCCTCTTCGGCGACGACGAGGACGAGGACGACGACGACCACGACGACGACGACGACGACGACTGGCGGTGAGGGAGACGGGGGCAATTCTGAAAGCGAAAGGGGAATTGAGACTCGCACCCACTGAGGCTCGCCCAGATGGGGCCGGAGCAGATGGGGTCGGAGGATCGCGCCGCATCGCCGATGCATCGCCGCAGGCATGGCGTTTTCCCAGGCAGGCGAGGGCCGCGATGTTGAGCCAGTCTGGCCAGCTGCCCAGAGCGCTCAACCGAGGTTCGCGAGCGAAGGGGGCGGCATCCCGTCCGAGAAGTCGGGGGGGGCTCTTCGGGAGGGGCCCGACACGACACCTGAAGCACGATGCGGCCCACGCACTCCCGAGAAGCGGTGGAGCCTTACCAGAAGCTGCCAGCTGGAAGCATAGCAGCACCCCTAATACACCTAATGGAACAAATATCGGGGAGGCTTGTCCAAGGGGGGTTGTCCGGGCGGGGGGGTTGTCCGGATGCTGCCGGGGTTGTCCAAGGGGTTGTTTGGGCCGCGTTGTTTCGCCAACACGTGCGCGTCATATTATCACGCACGCCATCAACAACGTGGCGCAACTCGGGAAGCTCAGCTGGAAATGTCGCCTTTCTTTCCCCCTTTCCCTCCCGACCGTTCTTCGTCTCTCGTGCCCCCCATTCCGCTCCCGTTCGCACGCCCTCCTTTAGCGCGCTTCCCCAAACAGCCATGCTGACTGCGGTCCCGTTGTGGTAGAAGCAAGTTCTTACCAAGGGGCCATGCTTCCTGGGATCATCTTGGGAGTTTCTTGGGGGCCTCTTGGGGCGTCCCTGGGAGCTTTTGGGAGTCTTGGGGGCTTCTTTTGGGGCCTCTTTTGGGGTCTCTTGGGGGCTTTTTGTGGCTTCTGGGGGGCCTCGTCACCGCCGTCGCCACCGCCGCCGTCGAAGTCGTCGAAGCCGCCGCCGATCGGCGTCGTCGGCGCCCTCGATCGCAGTCCGTCGCTTCGAATCGCTCGCGAGAAGCTTGTCATTCGCGGCCTGCGACGACGTGAACCTAATATTACATACACTCAGTGCAGAAGGACAATGCAAAGGAAAGCAATGCAAAGGAAAGGAAAGTGCTGTCCAAAAGATTACAGGAATAATGTTACATGTTCCTTTAAACTTAAAGGAACCACTATTTAGAAGACTTCGGATGATCATGGACATGGAGGAGGAACAGAAATACTTTAGGAGGGAGACGGGACCAGGCCCAAGCTACTTGTTCGAGGGCACCCCTGGCAAGGATGCATCCTGGAAACGGCACCGAGGGTGCGGAGGCATGCCTGGCATGAAGGAGGAACCGGGGAAGAGGAGGGACGAAGACGAGACTGTGGAGAAGGAGGAGGTGGAGGAGGAGGAGGAGTAGGAAAAGGAGGAGGAG